CTGGGATAGGTAGGTGTGGATGTTTGACGGTATTACAGATAATGTCGCAGGATGGAAGCAGTTCCTAGTAAGGCTGCCTTTTGCAATTGACTAATGGCGAATTTGTCAATGCCAATGGTGTTGAAATGGTGCTCCAGTTATTTTGGGATTGCACCCAAGGCACCTATTACTATTGGTACTACCCTTGCTTGCCTTTGCCATAGTCTTTCTATTTCTATTTGTAGGTTTTTGTATTTTGTTATCTTCTCCAGTTCTTTTTCATCTATTCTGCTGTCTCCAGGCACTGCCACGTCCACTATCCAGACTTTTTTGTCTTTCTGATCAACAATTGTTAAGTCTGGGGTGTTATGTTGCAGGTGCTTGTCTGTTTGAATTCTGAAGTCCCAAAGCAGTTTAATTTTTTCATTTTCTATGACTTTCTCCCCCTTTATGGATTACTGCCTTGTCGTGGCGAAGGGGCTTGCGTAACTCAATGAAGCTATAAGCTATGCCGTGCAGGGCCACCAAGACGGACAGGTTATAGCAGAGAGTTCTGACAAAATGTGATCCACTGGAGAAGGAAATGGCAAACCACTCCAGTATCTTTGCCATGAAAACCCCATGGACAGTACTAAAAGGCAAAAAGATATGACGCTGGAAGATGAGCCCCTCAGGTCGGAAGGTGTCCAATATGCTACTGGGGAAGAGCAGAGGGCTAGTACTAGTAGCGCCAGAAAGAATGAACTGGGCCAAAGCCGAAAGGACGCTCAGCTGTGGATATATCTGGTGGTGAAAGGAAAGTCCGATGCTGTAAAGATTTTTTTCTCCATAGGAACCTGGAATGTAAGATCCATGAATCAAGGCAAGCTAGACATAGTCAAAAAAGAGATGACAAGACTGAACATCGACATCTTAGGAATCAGCAAACTAAAATGGACAGGAATGGGTGAATTTAACTCAGATGACCATCAGGTATACTACTGTGGGCAAGAATCCCTCAGAAGAAATGGAGTAGCCTTCATAGTCAATAAAAGAATAGGAAAAGCAATACTGGGATACAATCCCCAAAATGACAGAATGATCTCAATTCGAATCCAAGGCAAACCATTCAATATCACAATAGTCCAAATCTATGCCCCAACCACTGGTGCTGAAGAGGATGAAATTGACCGGTTCTATGAAGCCCTACAGCACCTTATAGAATTAACACCAAAAAATTATGTCCTTATCATCATGGGGGATTGGAATGCTAAGGTAGGAAGCCAAAAGATAACTGGAATAACAGGCAAGTTTGGCCTTGGAGTACAAAATGAAGCAGGGCACAAGCTAATAGAATTTTGTCAAGAGAATACGATGGTCATAACAAACACTCTTTTCCAACAACCCAAGAGACGGCTCTACACATGGACATCACCAGACGGTCAACACAGAAATCAGATTGACTATGTGTTCTGCAGCCAAAGATGGAGAAGCTCTATACAGTCAGTAAAAACAAGACCAGGAGCTGACTGTGGCTCAGATCATGAGCTTCTCGTTGCAAAATTTAGGCTTAAATTGAAAAAAGTAGGGAAAAGCACTAGGCCACTCAGGTATGAACTAAATCATATTCCTGATGAATATACAGTAGAGGTGACAAATAGATTTAAGGAATTAGATCTGATAGACAGAGTGCCTGAAGAACTATGGATGGAAGTTCGCAATATTGTACAAGAGGTAGCAACTAAAACCATCCCAAAGAAAAAGAAATGTAAGAAAGCAAAATGGCTGTCTGAGGAAGCTTTGCAAATAGCTGAGGAAAGAAGGGAAGCAAAAGGCAAAGGAGAAAGAGAAAGATACACCCAATTGAATGCAGAATTCCAGAGAATAGCTAGAAGAGATAAGAATGCCTTCTTAAATGAACAGTGCAAAGAAATAGAAGAAAACAACAGAATAGGGAGGACCAGAGATCTCTTCAAGAAAATTGGAGATATGAAGGGAACGTTTCATGCAAAGATGGGCATGATAAAGGACCAAAATGGCAGAGACCTAACAGAGGCAGAAGAGATTAAGAAGAGATGGCAAAACTACACAGAAGAACTATACAAGAATGAGCTTAATATCCCAGATAACCACAATGAGATGGTCATTGACCTCAAACCAGACATCCTAGAAGGTGAAGTGAAATGGGCCTTAGAAAATCTGAGCAACAACAAAGCTAGTGGAGGTGACAGTATTCCAGCTGAGCTATTCAAAATCTTAAAAGACGATGCAGTAAAAGTGCTACACTCAATTTGCCAGCAAATTTGGAAAACTCAACAGTGGCCACAGGATTGGAAAAGGTCAGTTTACATTCCAATTCCAAAGAAAGGCAATGCCAAAGAATGTTCAAACTATCGCACCATTGCACTCATTTCACATGCTAGTAAAGTTATGCTTAAAATCCTACAAGCTAGACTCCAGCAGTATGTGGATCGAGAACTACCAGAAGTACAGGCAGGATTTCGAAGAGGCAGAGGAACTAGAGATCAAATTGCCAACATACGCTGGATCATGGAGAAAGCTAGGGAGTTCCAGAAAAACATCTACTTCTGCTTCATTGACTATGCAAAAGCCTTTGATTGTGTGGATCACAACAAATTGTGGCAAGTTCTTAAAGAGATGGGAGTACCAGACCATCTCATTTGTCTCTTGAGAAACCTATATGCGGGTCAAGAAGCAACAGTGAGAACTGGACACGGAACCACTGATTGGTTCAAAATTGGAAAAGGAGTCCGGCAAGGCTGTATACTGTCGCCCTGCCTATTTAACTTATATGCAGAGCACATCATGAGAAAGGCAGGGCTAGATGAATCAAAAGTTGGAATTAAGATTGCCGGGAGAAATATCAACAACCTAAGATATGCAGATGATACCACTCTAATGGCAGAAAGTGAAGAGGAACTAAAGAGCCTCTTGATGCGGGTGAAGAAGGAGAGTGCAAAAGTTGGCTTGAAACTCAACATTAAGAAAACTAAAATCATGGCATCCGGCCCTCTCAATTCCTGGCAAATAGATGGGGAAGAAATGGAGATAGTGACAGATTTTATTTTTCTGGGCTCAAAGATCACCTCAGATGGGGACTGCAGCCAAGAAATTAAAAGACGCTTGCTCCTGGGGAGGAAAGCTATGGCAAATCTAGACAGCATTCTAAAAAGCAGAGACATCACCCTGCCAACAAAAGTGCGTATAGTCCAGGCCATGGTTTTCCCAGTTGCAATGTATGGCTGTGAAAGTTGGACCATAAGAAAGGCTGAGCGCAAAAGAATTGAGGCCTTTGAACTATGGTGCTGGAGAAGACTCCTGCGAGTCCCTTGGACTGCAAGGCGTTCAAACCGGTCAGTCCTAGAAGAGATCAACCCCGACTGCTCTTTAGAAGGCCAGATCCTGAAGTTGAAACTCAAGTACTTTGGCCACCTAATGAGAAGGAAGGATTCACTGGAGAAGAGCCTAATGCTGGGAAAGATTGAGGGCAATAGAAGAAGGGGACGACAGAGAATGAGATGGCTGGATGGAGTCACTGAAGCAGTAGGTGTGAATTTAAATGGACTCCAGAAGATGGTAGAGGACAGGAAGACCTGGAGGAACGTTGTCCATGGGGTCGCGATGGGTCGGACACGACTTCGCAATTAACAACAACAAAATGACTTTCTCTATTTTATGATCCCACCAGTCTTGCTTACAGGCAAATGATATTTCTTGCAGATCTTCCAATGCACCATTGTTGCTACTTCATCATGCCACTGCTTGTAATCAGTCTTTGCGATCTTCTTGCAGCAGCTTACCAGGTGGTCCACTGTTTCTTCAGCTTCTTTGCATAGGCGGCACTTGCTGTCTCTTGCATTTTGACAATTTTGACTTTATATGCATTTGTCCTTAAGGCTTGGTCTTGTGCAGCCAGAATTAGTCCCTCGGTCTCTTTCTTCAATTTTCCTGCTCTTAGCCATTGCCAGGTCTTGTTATTATCTGCTTTCCCAGCTATTTTTTTAATGTACTGGCCGTGTAGTGCTTTGTCTTCCCGTGCCTCGATTCTGTTCTTCATTTGGTCTTTCTTGTAGGCCAGTTTGGTCTCTCCAGTAATCAGTAAGCCCTCCTGATATACTAATTTCAGGGCATCTTCATCACTGTCCTTCAGATATTCTTCCAAAGCCATTTTTAATTCTTCAACCATCTGACGTACTTGCAGCCTTCCACACCCACCTATTTGCCTTGGTAGATAAAGTCTGTCAATGTCACTGCGTGGATGAAGGGCATGATTCATTATCATTATTTTTCTGATCTTCCTATCCATTGCTTTTAGTTCTGCTTGAGTCCAGTCCACTATTCCAGCTGTGTATCTATTATTATTATTATTATTATCATCATCATCATCATCATCATCATCAGGACCACTGGAGTAAAACAAATGCGTAACAATAGATTTCTTTAAGAGTAATAAGCTACATATCGTGGACTCCACAAAAACATATTTTAATAAATTCAGAGTGACAATAAACAAGATTATATGGTAGGAGAATTTAATATTATTGGCAGAGAAAAAGAAATCTAAGATAGAGGGAAGGTCTTAAAAATATATTAAAAGCACTATTGCAAATAATTTCACTGTGGAAAAAACTGGAAGACCAAAAGACAATAGTACTGTGGCTACACAAAAAAACTTGAACACATAAAGAGGACACAAATAAGAGAAGTAAAAAAAAAAGTGGTTAGCAAGAAGAGACCTTTCAATAGTTTTAACTGTCAGCCCTTATAATTCCCTCCTCCCACTATTTAAATATATAGTCTGAGGAATTACATTGAAAAAAAGTTTATGCGCACAATGGATACACATATATAGATATCCTTTTTCATTCCAAGCTCAATATACCAATTTTCCCCCAGAAAATACTATACCATATGTACTATAATGCTCATATGCAGTTTTAAAAATCTTGATGGGAAAGAACCTTATAAATAAAAGGAAGAAAGCAACCATTCGAGAGATAACGTGTGGAGCCCTATGATACCTGCAGAGCTGTTGTCTGTATGGCTGTCAGGGCTGGATTCTGAACAGTAGCCATAACAGGACTGCCATCAGTTTTCAATGTAGTTAAGACAAGAGAATCTGTCTTGATTATCTGTGGCTGGACCAGGACCTGGAAGGAGGCAAGACAGTAAACATTTAATGAAAACAAACACAGAAATGGAAAGTTGTTATTACTAGTCCCTCTGTTACATTACAAAGTCCCACTATGCAAGAAACAGCCATAACTACTGTTTCAATATAACTTCTCTCCAAAGCTTCTTTCTACATATACCAGAGGCCCAGATTATACAGCTACTAACCTCATATAAGTTACAGCTAACTTTCACTGTGACATTCAATCAATCCAATCATTTCTCTTAATTAATAAAATTGGCTTTAAAGAGTTTAATCTCCACCTAATAAAAGCTTTTAGAAGTTAAGTAAGGAATATATTCTTTGTAATGCTCACCCTATCTGCTGCTGAAATACCAAATCCCCGGGTGCTGAAATTATTATAATAATAGCATTATCATTCTTTCCAAAATTTCTTTACTAATTTTTTTCCAATACTAGTACTGTAATTCCTTTCTATTTTCTTATGTTTAGCATCAATGACCTATGAACTTTAGGGATTTCATTACTTAAAAGCCAAATATTATGTCAGTGAAGTTATTTCTTGCCTTGGAACAGAATACCAATATATATTACTCCCTTCCCTCCCTCAAGACACTAAAAGAACTCACTGGAACCTGCTGAACCTGAGGGGCAGCTACTGCCTGGACAGTCGCTGGTGTTAGTGTCTGGATGGTGCCACTGGTACTCTGCGTCAGTACTCTCTGACCTTGCATGGTCTGGACCTGCTGTTGAATGGCAACTGGTTGAACCTGGGAAGAAGTCACCAAGCTTTGAACCTGAGGTTGCAGCACTAGAAAGAAGATAAGAAAAGTCTGAAAATGCTCAAGGGAAATTATGACTTCCACAATAAGAACTGTAGTCTCTGATCCTTGGTGATAGGCTGTGCTTCAACAAAAACATATAGGCAATTGCTGTAGTTATTATAATCTAACAACTAAAAATGAGCAAAATCCACGAAAAATATCTTATATTCAGTTTTAATATTTTAACATTACATTAGGACAGTACTGCCTTAACCAGTGATATAATTCTTGATTTTTAATTACATACTTGTCTACCAGCATGAGTTTTTATAACTGTACAAGTTTATATTTTAAACATTATATATTTTATTGATTGTGTTGTTTCATTGTATTTCCTGTAAACAACTCTGAAAATAGAATATATATTTCAACCAAATAGCAAACTCTTATTGCAAAAGTATTAAGATTACAGGCAGTCCTTGATCTAAGATCATCACTGAACCTGGAATTATGGTTGTCAATAAGTGGGTCATTATGTGACCATGCCTGAATTTATTATCTATTACCTTAACTAATTAAGTGAATCATTGCAATTGTTAAGCAAATCCATTGTTGGAATGGATAACCGATCATAAGTCAAGGACTACCTGTACACACTTTGCACTAATTTTCATATTCTTGTCTCTTATTGGCAACATGGATATGGTGCTAAATAGTGTTGTATTCCAGATATTCCTAACTCATCTGTAAAGATGAAGGTAAGGATTTAGTGCTCTATAAAACTGTGTTTTTTATTGTTTTGAAGACCATGGGAGTTACCTTGAAAACTTGTGGCTGCATTTTGGTATATTACAGGTTGCTGAATGAACCGGGTCTGGGGAGAGGAGCTGAAAGTTGGAGTAATCATCACTGTCTGTTGCTGAAGTGGGGGCTGAACTTGGGGGCGAGGTTGAAGAGGGGGTGCAGCCCGCTGTGGAGCAGGAATTGTGCCTGTTGACTGAGAGGTCTTCACTTGCACAGACTGAAGTTGTGGTGGAGAAGCTGTACTAGGAGAAGAGGACTGTAACTGTCCCTGGCTGTAGGCTTTCTGTGAAGTATCTGATATTCTGTCTCCATTACATGCATTGCTGCTTTGGAATGTGCCATATAACTGTTCAGAAAATAAATCTGGAAAATCTCCAACCTGATTGCTGACAAATTGTAGCATTTCTATAAAAAAAAACACAAAAATGGAAACCATGATTACTTTTCAAAATTTATCAATCTTGAAATGAAAAAATATATAGCAAAGGCATGCATTTTTTTAGATAATATTAAGTTTGAAAACAATTAATCAACAAAGATTATGAGTGCTGCGGTCCAAGCTCCTGAATGACCTTTGCTTATTGTTTCTGATTAAAAATGGTGAATCTTAGTTAATCTAAGAATCTAGGATAGAGATGCACTTTCCTCAAATGACTAGGTATAAAATTCTGTTTATGGCCTTATCATTGAATGCCTAAATGGTATATGTAGGTTCATATATCATTTTTTTTTAGATTAGGATATGAACTATTTGTAACCATACTTTAGAAAACCAACTTTTGTCACAATTATCTATAATTTTGTCTCATCCCAATTAAATTATCCCAGTTATTTGTGAACTGCATTTCTGGAAAATTCAAATTATTTAAAATATGATAGCTTATTATTAAACAGATGTAAAAAATGTTACCACTTTCAGTTTAGCAGTTAAACTTCTCCATGTAGATGCAGTTCCATTGAGGACCACACGCTGAGTACGGCCAGTCAGCTAGCTACGGATCCATCTGGTGGTGATGCTGTCTACCCCACATTATTCTATCTTGTCAAGTAGTAGGTTGTGATCTACTTTATCAAATGCCTTACTGAAGTCCAAGTAAATTATGTCCACAGCATTCCTCTGATCCACTAATTTTGTCACTTGGTCAAAGAATGCAATAAGATTTGTCTGGCATGATCTATTTTTGACAAACCCATGTTGGCTTTTAGTAATGACTTTGTTTGCCTCTAGGTGTTCGGTGATTCGTTGTTTGATTATCTTTTCCAGGATCTTCCCAGGTATTGAGGTCAGGCTGATAGGTCTGTAATTTCCTGGGTCCATTTTTTTTCCTTTTTTGTAGATGGGAACTACATCAGCTCTTTTCCAATCCTCTGGTAGTTCCCCTGTGCTCCAGGATCTTTGAAAAATATAGTTCAGTGGTTCTGAGATCACATCTGCCAGTTCCTTGAGAACCTTGGGGTGTAATCCATCTGGTCCTGAAGATTTGAACTCGTCTAGGCTGGACAGGTGCTCACTTACCATTTTCTTGCCTATCTTAACTTGTGTTTCTATTCTGTTTTTTATGGCACTATTTCTGATAGGTTGGTCTGTTTTTTCTCTTTGTGTAAAGACAGATGCAAAAAACGAGTTAAATAGTTCTGCTTTCTCCCTGTTGCTTGTCACCTTCTTGCCACTTTCACCCACTAATGGACCAATGATTTCCTTCACTTTTTTCTTGTTTTTTACATGTTGAAAGAAGCTTTTTTTGTTATCTTTAACTTTGGTCGCAAGCCTTAGTTCATTTTGAGCCTTGGCTTTCCTCACTTCATCTTTGGAGGCTCGGGCTATTTGCTGATATTCTACCTTAGTTATGTGCCCCTCTTTCCACTTTTTATACTTGTCCTTTTTATCTTTCAATTTGTCAGAGAGCTCTTTATGCAGCCATGCTGGTTTCTTTTGTGAGCTGTTATTTTTCCTCTTTGTTGCTATTGTGCTAGATTGAGCTTTTATTATCTCATTTTTAAAAATTTCCCAAGCTTCTTGAGTTATTTTCCCCTTGAGGATTCTCATCCATGGAATCCTTCCCAAGCCCTCTCTAAGTTTATTGAAATTAGTTCTCTTGAAGTCTAAGACTCTAGTTTCACTGTGTTCTATTGCTTGTGCTTCCATAATGTTCAATTCCAGTATTGCATGATCACTTCCTCCCAGGGTTCCTATGGCTTCAACACCTTTTATCATTTCATCTCTGTTAGTGAGAATTAGATCCAAAATGGCTAATCCCCTAGTTCCCTTCTCTACTTTTTGGGAGACAAAGTTGTCTGCTAGGTTTGCCAGGAACCTGTTTGATCTTCCACTTGGTGCAGAGTTTGTCTCCCAGTTGATGTCATGGTAGTTAAAGTCCCCCCGTTACTATTGTGATGTGCTTCCTACATACCTTAGTTAGCTGACTAGCAAAAAGTTCATCTATTTCCTCTGTTTGGTTGGGTGGCCTGTAGTATACACCTATTGCAATGTCACTTTTCCCCCTTTTATATTGACCCAAATGCATTCAAGACAGTTTTTATCATCGTTGTGCTCTATTTCTGTAGAGATGTAGTTATTTCTTATATAGAGAGCAACTCCACCTCCTCTTTTATTTGGTCTGTTTCTTTTAAATAATTTAAATCCCTCTAGCTGTGTGTTCCATGTGTGGGTTTCATCCTACCATGTTTCCATAATGGCAACAATATCATATCTGCCCTCATTAACCTGAATTTCTAGTTCATACTGCTGTTCATACTCTGTGCATTGGTGAGTCCTTTATGACTGGCCCTGTGTTTACTTTCTACATAACCTGAGTGGTGACTGAGTTCCCCTATTGTCTTACCACCCATTTGGTTAGCGCACTTTTTGTGGCACTCGCTATTAGAGGCTTGTTTTTGCTTGACAGCAAGGTTGGTATTCTTGTCCACACACACCTCTATGTTACATGCATTGATAGCCCTATAATTTTTAGATTGCCAGGGACAGGGTTGTTCTGTATCAATTAATTCACTGTCCCCGCTGTTTAGTTTAAATTTTCCTCCAGAAAAGCTTTGAAACCTCTTTCCCCTCAGCATGGATGACTCAGAAATTCTGGGAGTTGAAGTCCACAAGTCATAAAAGAGCCAAGGTTGCCTACCCCTGCCTTAGACATTTAAACCCGAATGTTTGGAATTCCCATCTAGAGGTATATAATAAATTTGAGTCCCTAATTATCAATTAATAGTTTTTGTTTTTAGTTGGTATAGTTTATTTTATTTTTATATTTTTTGTTTACTGTATGCTGCCAGAGTTGTATTGTTCAAGTTCAGCAGCCATATAATTGCTCTAAATAAATAAATAAGGGATCCCAAGTCGCTAATTCTACTAATCACAAGCACTAAAAACTTACCTACTAATTTTTTATGCAATAAGCTTAGAAAATAAATCATCTAACTAAAGAATCATTAAGTAACAAAGCTTAAAATTCTGTAATAGTATCTAGGAAATGTTTAGGGCACAAATACTCAACCATGTGCATTTTTTCTGCTCATTTGTTATTCTGCAGTCTTTGTCAATTTAAATCAATATGAATTATTTCCAGGAAAAAGGATTGAAGTGTATTAGATTCAATTAAATGATATATAATATTTAAAAGAAACTTACTAAGCAAAAAAAAAATGGACCAAATGAATACAAAATTTTTTCTCCCTTGACAAAGCTCAACTTAGAAGACATATCTAATTCCATAAAAGCATCATATCTCTCCGTTTTTAATCCCACATCTTTGAAAGCTAAAGAGGAAAATTCTGGATTCTGGACTATTCCAGCATGGCTGGCTAGAGAATTCTGGGTGTTGAGATCCATACATCTTAAAGTTGCTGAGGCTGAGAAACACTCATCTAATTCTTAGAATCCAAGGATTTTTTCCACATTTGACTGGGTTAAGAGAAGCCTTTAAAGACTTTTAACATTTCAAAAACAATAGTTTCCCATTAAAAGAGATTCCTTTATCTACCTAATGGAAATATAAGCTGCAGAGTTTGGAAACCTCTCAATTTACTTCAAAAACATCCAACAAGTTTACCATTACTGTTAAAATAAAAATCTTAAGTCCATTGCCAATTTACCCACCTGAAATTAACATGATTTGATTGATAAAAAGAAAGTTGTATTCATTTTAGGGCTACCAGATCTGAGCTGCAAGAAGCCTAAACAAATATTAGACAGTGGGAAAGAGTTGATTTTCTTGCTAATATCTAGCAGTCATCAGAATTTTTGCAGTCCAGGTTTGGCAACCTAATTAAATTGTTTTTAAATTTATGTAAGCATTCTAACTTGGCATGCAAAAACAGTTTCTCTTGCTTTTAAAAATGTAAACAAAATAATAATTACATGTTTAAATAAGTATGCTTCTTATTTAAACAAGCCCACCTCTGTTCTAGGAAAAAAAGGAGCCTATTCTGTATTTATGCTAAAAATTATTTGTTCTGGATGATTTTTCACCTCTGATAATGCTGCTTAATACAAAAAATAATAAATGAGAAAAGGTGTTCTTCAGAAAAACAACAAACAATGCAGTTCAAGACGAGGAGCACCTCCTAAATTAGAAGTCTAAAGACTCTTCCCCTCAATCTATTCTTTTTCATAGTGAAATTAATGACATATTTTGAAAAATTAGGCAGCCCTGGTCAGATTGTATTTTACAATAATTCCTAAGTGAATGGAAACTGACACGTCTATAGCAGGGCTTTTCAACCTTTTCACCGATTGTACCACTTTTAGAATATGGCAATATTCAAGTACCACCAGTCGCCTAGCAAGGTGTCAAAAACTTAATGACCAAAACAAAAACACGGAAAAAAGTGATAAAGTACAGGTAGTTTTCTCTCACCCCCTTTAATATCATCTCTTCTCTCATCCTCTTTAATATCATCTCTTCCCTCACACCCTTTAATATCATCTCTTCCCCTACCCCCTTTAATATCATCTCTTCTCTCCCCTTCAGCAGGACCCAGGCAATGCCTCTCGCAGCTCCAGCTGAATCTCTGCCAGAAGACTGCTCAAGGCTGCCTACCACTCCCAATCAGCTGGAGCTGCACACGCTGATCCTGGGCTCTCCGCAGGACTTAGGCAGGCAATGCCTCATGCAGCTCCAGCTGAATCTCTGCCTGAACACTGGGTGAGGCCACCTGCCACCTCCAATCAGCTGGAGCTGCGTGCGCTGATCCTGGGCTCTCAGCAGGACCCAAGCAACGTGTGGCACAGCTTCCAGCTGAATCTCCACCCGAAGAATGTGTGAGGCTGCCTGCTGCCCCCAAGGCCGCCCCGAATCAGCTGGAGCTGCGCGCTTTGATCCTGGGCTCTCAATAGGACCCAGGCAACGTGCAGTTCCAGCTGACTTTCCCACAAGCCTGTGCGGCACTGCTGCCGCTTCAACTCATCCACTTTTACACTTTTTTTTACATTTTTTTACAGTGCTGTTCAACCCGTCATATGCGTACCACCTGCCAGGTGCCAACGTACCCCTAGTGGTATGTGTACCACCAGTTGAAAAGCCCTGGTCTATATTGTACAAAGTGTATCAATTGTGACATTTTTCTAGTAATTTATCAGCTATTGTTTATAAATTCATTTTTTTAAAAAAATGAAAATATTTCAAGTGCAATAATTTGCACTCTTTCAGCCAATACTTTGTAACAATATTGTTACAAGTTCTGTGGATCTCCAAATGATAAGAGCCCACCACCAAAAAGCTTACAGAACCATTGAATTAATAAATAATGTTGAAACAGAATTACACAGGAAGCACTATATTTTAGAGCAGTGTTTTTTAAACTTGGCAACTTTAAGATGTATAGACTTCAACTCTGAGAATTCTCAAGTCATTCCAGAATTCCCTAGAATTCCCCAGTTAGTGTCTTGAGGAATTCTAGGAGCTGAAGTCCACACATCCTGAACTTGCCAAACTTGAAAAACACTGCTATAGACTATGCACACCAATCATATTGTCCATGTCAAGGACAGAACACTAATAGAAATCTGAGCAAGGAGAAAATACATTGCTAGAAAGTGCTAGCAAATTTTGTGAGTTGGTGCTAGAGTGCAGCCAATGGTGGGGTTCCATGGACAGGTGCTGCGGAGCATCCCCATGCTATCTCAGGGCTTCTGGAAGAAAAAGCAGTAGGAGCAGGAGTGACTTGTAACCTCCTTTTGGCTTCCCATTGACTTTGTTTGTGGGAACCAATCAAGGAAAGTCACAAATGACAATCACATGACCATGGAATGCTGCAACCATCGTAACTGTGAGCCAGTTGCCAAGACACTGAACCACAATCACATGACCTCTGGGCACTGTAATGGCCACAACTTCAAGTTTGTACTGCATCATTGTAACTCTGAACAGTCACTGAACAAGTGGATGTAACCCAAGGACCTCATATATAGACTTGCTGGCACTAAGTAAAATTTTTCAGTCTCAGCAATTTATAAAACAAACACATCTAACACAGAACTTGTTTTTTAAAAATATTTTTATTTTCTACTCCTTTTCAGTTATTTGATTAAGTGCTTTGAATCTGAAAGCTACATTTCAAATACAAACTTGTTTTTTGTTAGCAAACAGAATATATTCCCCATTCACATATAAAATACATGAAGATATATGAATAAAAAAAGGGGGAATCATAAATGTGTAAAGGCAAGTCAAGTCACTGCAAGCACAAATTTGGTTTTTTAGCAAAAGAAAATTCAAATGTTAACATTAAGAAATAATATTTTGATTCATGCTAAAACTGGGCAGAGAAAATAAACTGTACCACCTTTTTTAAAGGTTAGGCAAAAAAGACATGACATTAATTGCCCAAATTGTACCTTAGGATTTTAAATTTAGATTAATTCAAATGTCACTGAAAAAAATAAGCTATAAAAATTAGGAATACAGAAGCAACATATAAATGCAAGAGAGGATAACTATATTAATGTTAATATTAGTAATCTTAATCAGAGATTTCTTTGCCTGCCTGAAGTATTAGTTTTTATATGTTCCTTATATCCAAGCAATTTTGGTACATACTGTACTTTTTCCTATTTAAATCTGAGACTTCGTGATTATATGCAACCTCTGAAAATTTTGGCCTACCTTTCTGAGTGTGTCTAAAAGTTGCCATCAAATTATTATATTTAATATAACAGATAGCTAACCATTTTTAACAGACTAATTAGGAGAGAGGATGTCACTGTTCACCAATATCCATTAAACAGAAAGACCATCATGAGTAATTTGCATAATGCATCATTTATCTTATGGTATCATCATTCCAACAATACAAAATATGTCATTTGTTACCAACAGAAAAGAATATTTGTAGCTTAGTGTTGAACTGTGGAGTCCTTGGTGCTCTCTGAGCTTGGTTATTTTCTTGCAGACATTTCATTAACCACTCCTACAATACTGACCGGGCAAGACACTCAGTATAAACAGAGATCAAACCCCATTCCCTTCTTGCACTGAAAATGTTACCTAGTTGGGTAATGAAAACAACCAAGCTCATTTGTATGATGTCATAATGCAAATTGGCAGATTTGACTCATTGCATGTGGTCCAGGTCTTCTCTAAACTATGGTTTAGAGAACCACACTTATTATATTACATTTAAATATCAGATTAAAATAATTGTTCATTCAGGTCATGCCCAAAAATCTTGTACATTTCATAATTTTGACTGCCAAAATGACAAATTTCCCCCCAAATTATCTCTGTATCATTTTGATACAGATAGACCAAGTGGCTTATTTGATTGATTGATTGATTGATGGTTGTCACTAGGGGGGTGGGGGATTGTTGCTTTTATATATTGGGTTTTTAATCTTTGTAAGCTGCCAGGAGTCACTGAGAGTGTGTTGGACGGCCATATAGATGTTCTTAAATAAATTTTTATAAAATCTTCTAGTCCCAAGCACTCACAAATCATACAGGTTCACATATAAACCTTTTACTGTTCTTTGTCACTGGATGAATGCATTCCATATTTCATAACTGTCAATATCACATGCCAAGAAATATAACTGAAATAAACTACTCCACTAATATTTAAGGGAATGCACAAGGGCTTCTGATAAAACCTGCAATTCTAGATATTATTTCTGTCTTCTAAGCCCATTTTGAGATGCCTAAAACTGGAATAGGTCTAAGAAGGTCCTAGGCATGAATGTTAAACAATAAAGCCAACTAAATTTGAGGGAACTTACTTCCAAATAAAGATACACTGCGTTGCCCTGCAATCCTATATATACAAATACACACCCTTGCTCAAACAATATATTTATTCTGAAGCAAGGATGCATAGCGTTGTATCGCAAGCATACCTTAAATTTAATCTAAAAAATAACTCTCAAATTTCCTATCCTAAATGATAGGCATCTGAATTTGGATAAGTATTGGGGTAGACAGAAAACTTAACTACAGCGTTTCATGCTACACGCACTGGGAAACACCTGACAATTCATGTGTGAGGCTGCTCTGGGAATCCCCAGCCATTTAAATCGGGATAGTTGTGCATCGGTGGCCGATAGGCAAATACACTTAGCGGCACTTCGCCCCTCTGGGCCGGGTCCGCAGATCCGCACCGAGCAGCGCCTTCCCTTTCCTCCGCGGTTGCTATATCTGAGGGGGGCGATAGTGGGCACAGCCGAGCGCCCGCCTCGTGTGCACTCACCATCGATATCGCCCAGTGTGAGCTCGTCGCCGAGCTCCGTCAGGGTCTCCATAGTCTCCATGCTGCTCAGCTCGCCGTTTTCCATTGCTGGCGAGGCACACCCGACTCAACTACAGCGAGTCACCTCTTAAGAAGGCGAGTCACCTCGTCAGAGGGAGCGGCGATACCCCCACCCCCGCATTAACCCTTCCCCAGACGGGGATTGCTGCTTCAGCTCGGGTTCTCCGGGTTCAGTTCCTCAATCGACGCCATCTTGCTCTAACTTCTGTGAACTCCACCCATCCACCTGCGAGGAACCACCGCCGCGCGCGGCTGGTTGTCCATGAGACCAGGTCTCCACTGTCCAATCAGCGGACAGAGCGGCTCGTGGTGTGATGGCGCGTCAGCGATCAGCAGCTTTCATTCGGATGCGAGGCATCTTTCTCCTTGCTGGACCGCCCTCCCACTTTGAATATGTATGAGAAGGCGGGAAGTTTATGAAATATTATAGTTGAAATTGAAAACGGGAGGGCGTTATTGATTTCACTTCCACAGCCACGACTTGTTTTGGATACAGTAGAAACGGACGCAAGAAAAAGAGAACATTGTAGATTTTCTTAGAGAAAAAATGGCAAAACTGAAAAACTAGAAGTGCCTTTCTTTCTTAACTTTGTTAAGACTGCCATGAAGATGAAGTTTGATATTAAGAAAGATGGGAGCCCTTTATGGGAAAAGAGTTTTGTCTATTTAACAGTGAAATCTACGTATCTCTTTCAGAAAGGACAAAATCCTGTAGTACCTGAATTATCTTTAAAATCAAATTATTGGAACGCTTTGTTGGATTACAGTCCGCTTTAACCACCAAAGGTTATGCAATAGGAAGTGTGTTAATCTCTAGGTGATCCTAAGGCTCTGGTTTTGCAAAAGACAAACATAGTCACTTCCCTAGAAACTTTCAGATAGTGTCTGGGATCCTCTTATTTGTTTAGGAAATTGTTTTTTCAAAATTGTATGAACAATCTCTATTTGGCCTTAAAGTTTTGTTACACATTTTGTCTCAATATGCATATGTTAAATCTGATCAAATCTGTCTGGGCTTGGAAGCTAAGTAGAATGGGATTTAGCAATACTTGATAGGAGGCCACTGTGGAAAGAAAAGTCTCCATCCTGGTTCATCCAAGAAGGGGATAAATAAAGAACATGGCGACTGCTTTAGAAAGAAAGTTGCAGTTTATTGAAGAGCCAGACAGAAAGATGGATCTGGCAGGAAAGAGGAAAGAAAAAAGGACTGAGCACATGTGGGTAGTAGGTTTTTATACCCCTCTCGAGCCTTTTGTTTGAAGTAGTTTCCTGTTCCTGTTTCAGGCTTTGTATTTCCTGTGTCATGTATTCTGACCTGAGTCTGGGTGTGCCTTTCTGGTATTCCTGTTTGTGGTGCATTAATTTCTATTATATATTTTGCTTCCCTGGTGTCTTTGTCTTCTTTATCTCCTAGCTGGGGCCTTTCTAATGGTTTACATCTGCATTTGTACAGAGATGGCTTCTGCTTGGGACAGAGAGACTTGGGGGCAGGGTTAGTTTCTGCTTTTAAAATCCTTTTGAGGAAATATATTTTTCTGCCCTTTTAATATTTCCTTCTCTGGGGAGCTGACTTCCCTCAATATCCCCCTTTGTGCCTTAAGTGTTAGAATGACACACTTACTGGCACAAGATTAAAATTGATGTAGTCAGGCAGACTTGGTAAAGAAGCTTTAAAACTGTTAAGCCCAAAAAAAAAAGAAGAAGACACTAATGGAGGCAAGCAGAAAAAGATCCCAAAAGGGGACCTTCCAACCCATAAAATTCTAAAAGTCAGGGCAAAAAAATTGGTTAAGTGGAAAATAAATTTATAGTGTCCAATATTCTGTGCCAATAATTTTCAAATGTTGGATGTCACTTTTAGCTTCCAGTCAGGTTTGCACATTCCTCCCAAAATTCTTCACAGCCATGGTTTGCCTCAGTACATAACCACTGGCTTCCCATTTTCAATGGTTGTTTCCTGCCTTACCTCTTAGTTCAGTGCATCCAGGTTTGTAATGTCCAATTGAGGTTAGCCAGTATGCAAGCCAGGCTATTAAATTTTCTTAAATTGCACATAGCCCTAAGACTCCCAATCTGAGTCCACCAGTGCAACATATTCAGGGATTAGGTTTGGAGATCTCTTTTCTGCTACTTCCTCAGTCAGGGCATATGAATTGCAAATCACCTGAGGGAGCCTGGTCCCCTCCCCCTTGGAATTTTCAGGAAGTTGTGCATGCAAAGCTTTGGTGCAATATAACAAAAATCAGTCTGGGGAACTTTACTGAAGGTAGGTGGAAGAGACTCAGTGTGATTCTGAATGATGTGTGTGTCTGTATGTATGCAGCTACTAATACAAACAGGCAATACAAACATTCTGGATAAATTTTCCCTCCCACCAGACAGAAGTCCAAGGTGTTAAGTACTTGCTGGGCCAACTATTCCCAAATGCCATCACTCCATAAATACATTCAACTGACGTTACAATACAAATGGGGTAAGAAAGAAAAACTTTACAATGAGTTTCCACCCTCCCCCATAGTCTTCCTAATTTTCTTCTGAGGCTTCACATGGGGACCAATGGCTCCAGGACTCCTTCCTTCTGCTTTCACAGGCATCTGGGGGAATGGTAGGACTTGAGAAGATGTTCCACTCAGGTTGCATGGTGGCTTTTTAGTGGATGGCTGAACCCAATTCCAGAGTTCAAATGGATGGAGGCAGCATCTGGGTCAGTGTGCTCTGCTTCCAAAGATTGGGGGGGGGTCATCTGTCCAGGGCTGAAAGACATGAGAACAAGGTCCCCTACCCCCCCCCTTCTGGGTGGATTCTCCCAGGAGAGAAAGACAAAAGGTATGGAGAACAAAGGATAAGAAAAGGAGATGTACATTAGGGTGAGGGGGGTTAGCTTGCAGGCAGAGTTTGAAAAGGCATTAATACTGCAGTTGTTAAACAAACAGATAGGCAAACAAAATGAGGACATCCCAGATGAAGACAAAAGAAAGCTGGATTCTGGTAAGAGAACATACATAAAAAGTTTCACTTCTGAACTTGAATATTTGCAACATGTTAAAGACAAGGACTTGCAACTTAAAAATTCTGGTCATGTTTCAGGAAAAGGACAGACAGATAAAACCCATTTAGAACACAAGCCTATTTACAACACATTGTGGAATGATTTCCAGAGTTTGGGGCAGGAACCCAGCAGGCAGGACACCCCCTCCTCACTCCAAAGAGAAAATACCTTGGCAAATATAGGAAGAACCCAATATAGTCTGACTCAGTGGCAGCCTGAGGCTAAATAAACACTTAACACACACTGGCTATAAGGCTATAAGCAGAACTGGCTAACAGCAATTAGGATTGACAGAATTAGAATAGAAACACCAAAAGGTACACAGCAATAAAATAATTAACACTGGATCCCTCCTGGAACAAAAATTAACACCTTTTAGACAGAATTGAGAAGGAAATTAACCCAATAATAGACACTGACCAACAAATCAGAAAAGACAAATTTAAACTCACCAATCAGAAATTACAATTTTGGAAACCATGAAAGGGTATAAAAACTCATGTTTGAAGACCATTCTGTCTAGCTAGGCAGGGATTCATGCTGAATTGTCACAATGTCTGTAGCTGGTCCAATGAAACAATGTACAAAAAAGACAGTTTGCATCCATCAAAGAAAGGGACTGAGTTACTTGGCAATAAACTCATAGATTTTCTGGAGTGTGGGGAAAAATGCACACGCAGCAAACTGCCGTGCTTTCCCCCCCCCACAAACCTCATAACCTTTTGATACCCTTTGTCCTAATGAAGCAGCCAGAAGGTCATCCACTTTTGACTTAATGCCTCACTTACCTAAACAGACAATATGCTTAGTTCCTTCTCCTATCTCTTCCCGTCTTTGTTAGTTCCTTCTGCTTTCATCTCCCTGTATTTGTTCTTACCTGGTCTTTGACCAAGTAATGTGTTACTAGAAAATAGTTGCTTACATGAAGACATTTTCCAATGAAGAAACTAATAGTTAAGCTGGTGTATGTAACAAGTATATAAGAAGCAATAAACTCAGAGTTTGTCAAGCTGTGTCCTGCAGCTTCAAACCTCTGCTCAAGACATGCCTGCGTCTTTTTCTTAGCGTCTTACACTGGTGGACTATTTAAATTAAACAATGGGGACAGTGAGTTAATTGATACAGAACATCCCTATCCCCAGCAATCAAAAAATCACAGGGTTAGCAGTGCATATAACATAGATGTGTGTGTGGACAAGAATATCTTACATCTGGCACCTGAACAGGGACAGCCCCCCATGGAGCAACTGGGACAGCCCCCCTTCCGAGGGAGCAACAGCCAACATACTTACCAGTGTCTGGAATAGACCTCTAAGTGGACTTTCATCCTATGGGACCCCTCAGTGGTAAGTAATGGTTGCAATCTATCTCAGCACCAGCAGAAACATGTACAGGAACTCAGATTCCTGTTACACAAATCAGGCGTGAAAGCACCTGAAGCAGACATAAGGAAGCTGGTGGATGAGGTAGGGATACATTCCCCTTGATATCCTAAGCACTGGACGCTTAGGTTATGAGATTGGTAAAAGATAGGGCATACTTTACATCTTGAATCTCAGGCTCCAGTACAGGTATTACATCAATGGCATCAAGCAGTGGAAAAATTTGGCTCAGATGCTTCAGCAGGGCAGCAATTAACTACAAGCCCCACACCTGATTAGGATCAAGTAAAAACTGTGCCTCCGAAAGCATCTTTAATTGGATTTTCAGCTCCTTCTGAAGAGGCTAATTCTTTTGCCTCTTTACGGCCATCATACACCCCCCATAAGGAAAATATTAGAGGAACAATCTTGAAGTAGAAAAAATATATATGGGGAATCGTCAGAGGAATTTAAAGAAACAAATTAAATCAAAATGTACTCCTCTGCAATGTGTTTTCAACAATTGGGATGTTTTGAAACTTAAAGTAGCTGTTAAGTTTAGCCTGTCAGACAATGTCTGGTAGTGCTTTGTGTTGATGTGTAGAAGTATAAATAATCTTTAAAAAGACAACATTGAAAAACTTTGTAAACCTCGGGTTGGCTAGTTTATCTGATAACAACTAAAGCCACGGAAGAAAAAGAAAAGAAAATTCAAAGAACTGAAAGCAATTTTTTTCTTCCCTTTTTCCCCTTTTAATCTGGCTCTATTCAATTCCCCTTTGTCAGAGGTGAGGAGAGGAGGCTGCTACTTTTCCCTCACCCTTCACACCTTCAATATTCCTTTTAGTCTTTCCGCAATGTCTTTTGAAGTTGCTGGGAT